CCCACTGGGAGAGTTCTTCTGGAAAAAGAACCAAAACCCAAACCGATAGGGTTCGGCACGCCGGGCACCCCTTTGCTGAAGCAGAAGGGGGCGGCGGATCGAAGACGCCTACGGCGAATCACCGCCGCCCCCTGCCTTTTTGGAAGCGCCTATGTGGCCGAACGTTGAGGCCAGACCTGCCAAGCTATCGGACCACGTGTTCCCCGAATCGGTTTGGAAAGCCTTCGGGGAACACGTGGGCATCTTGAAGGTCATCTTGGCCGTCTTGGAGGCCTCTTGGGCAAGCTTTGGGCGATCTTTGGGGCTTTTTGGGCCGTCTCGGGCCAGCTTCGAGCCAACTTCGGCCATCTTGGTGGGTTCCTGGCACGTCTGAAGCCGTCGGAAGCCGTTTGGGGGGCCTCTATGGGCCGACTTGGGGCCCGCTTGGAATGCTCCAGGGCCGTCTTGGAGGCCATCTTGGGCGTCTTGGAGGCCATCTTGGGCGTGTTGGAGGCCTCTTGGGCCCTCTTGGGGCCCTCTAGGGGCCATCTTGGAGGCCACTTGGGCCATCATGGGGCTCTCTTGGGGGCCTCTTGGGCGATCTTGGGGGCTTCTTGGGCCGTCTTGAGCCGTCGGAGAGCCGAAAAGGCGCAAATGCCAAAATCCTTCAAAAACCAAGGAAAATCAATGATTTTGGCCTCTTCGGACTCTCCTGGAGGACCTCTTGGAGGCCTCTTGGGCCGTCTGGGAGGCCTCTGGGGGGCCTCTTGGGCCGTCTTGGGCCGTCTTGGACTCTCTTGGGCCGTTTTGGAGGCCGTCTTGGACCATCTCGGGCGGACTTGGAGGCCATCTTGGGCCATCTTCGCGATTTTTTGAGGATGTCCCGAGCGAAACGGCCGTTTTTGGGCATTGACAGACGGATTTTCGGAAACTTGCGGGTGGCCGGCGGGACGGGCCGAAGCCCACTGGGGAGTTCTTTTAGAAAAAGAACCAAAACCAAAACCTGAAACGTCCAGCACGCCGTGCACCCCTGCAAGCAGGGGGCGGCGGATCGAAGACGCCTACGGCGAATCACCGCCGCCCCCTGCCTTTGTGGAAGCGCCTATGTGGCCGAACGTTGAGGCCAGACCTGCCAAGCCATCGGACCATGTGTTCCCCGAATCGGTTTGGAAAGCCTTCGGGGAACACGTGGGCGTCTTGATGGTCATCGTCGTCGTCTTGGAGGCCTCTTGGGCGATCTTTCGGCGATCTTTGGGGGCTCTTGGGCCGTCTCGGGCCGTCGGAAGGCCGAAAGAAGGGAAATGCCCAAATCCATCAAAAACCTTTGGAAAATCAGTGATTTTGGCATCTTTTGGCCTTCCTGGAGGCCCTCTTGGGGGCCTCTTGGGCCCTTTTGGGCCAGCTTCGAGCCAACTTCGGCCATCTTGGTGGGTTCCTGGCACGTCTGACGCCGTCGGGAGCCGTTTTGGGGGCCTTTCTGGGCCAACGGGGGACCCTCTTGGGGCGCTCCAGGGCCGTCTTGGAGGCCATCTTGGGCGTCTTGGAGGCCATCTTGGGCGTGTTGGAGGCCTCTTGGGCCGTCTTGGGGCCCTCTAGGGGCCATCTTGGAGGCCACTTGGGCCATCAGGGGGCTCTCTTGGGGGCCTCTTGGGCGATCTTGGGGGCTTCTTGGGCCGTCTTGAGCCGTCGGAGAGCCGAAAAGGCGCAAATGCCAAAATCCTTCAAAAACCAATGGAAAATCAATGATTTTGCCCTCTTCGGACTCTCCTGGAGGACCTCTTGGAGGCCTCTTGGGCCGTCTGGGAGGCCTCTGGGGGGCCTCTTGGGCCGTCTTGGGCCGTCTTGGACTCTCTTGGGCCGTTTTGGAGGCCGTCTTGGACCATCTCGGGCGGACTTGGAGGCCATCTTGGGCCATCTTCGCGATTTTTTGAGGATGTCCCGAGCGAAACGGCCGTTTGTGCGCACGGTGGCGGGTTCTGCCGGAGCCCGCTGGGGAGTTCTTTTGGAAAAAGAACCAAAACCAAAACCTAACAGCTCGTCCAGCACGCCGTGCACCCCTGCAAGCAGGGGGCGGCGGATCTGGTGGCATTCGGCCCATCCCGCCACCGTGCCTGGGCTGTGGCTCAGAAGCCTCTTGGATGTGCGGTGGGATCTCGTGAGAAGCGTCGCTGGGGCCTTCCCGAGGCAGTTTTGGCGGCCTCTGCGGGGCTGTTTTGGGGCCTCTTTTGGGGGTCACTTGGGGCCTCGTGGAGCCCCTGGAGAGCCTCTTGGGCCACCTCGGAGCTTGGGGCGGAGGGCTAGAATTTTCGATTCGTGGTCCCCTTCTTGGGCCCCTCTTGGGGCCTTCTTGGAGGCCTCTTG